GTATTCTGAGTTATCTTGCACGCCAATTTGAAAAACAAGATGTCGATGCATCGATCGCTTGGAAGTCGCACCACAATGATTTTTAAAAATTTCAAAAAAACTTTTTAAGGACATGTTTTCAAGACTATGAGGTACTCAAATATAGGGAACAAATTTCGATTACTTTCATCGTTACAGTAGTCTGGCCCCTTAATGATAGAACATTGAGGTGGACTTTGAAGGCAGCGTGACGGCCTTACAGCGACTTGTGGTGAAAGAATTTGGCCTAGTCCACCACGAACTCTCGTCAATACCTTTGTAGGCTACAACAAAGGACACGTTCGGTCGATTGGGTTCACGACAACCAACATTATAAGTACTATGAGGTAACGACATAACTGATTTATTGTCGAAACGTGCCAAATTGCACTCAGGAATCGAACAACTTAAGGCGTTTATAAAATAATTGAAAAAAAAAACTGGCGATACAACAACCAATTCTCTTCGTAAACTCAGACACTATATTCAGAGGCCAAAAAGCCGGTGGAAGGGCAAAAAAGTATTGTTGTTCCCCAAGATAGTAGGCCATTTTTGTACTGCAGTAACATGCAGCAGCTTACCTCCACAGAATATCAAAATAGCCATCTCCTACCTGAATGCAATCCAGCAGTCGTCGTAGCACATACTTTCCCAACCTTTAAAACAAAATTCAGGAAGTTTTTGAATATGATATACAACTAGTAAAATTTTTTTAATAAGTGTACCAATAGGCAATCCATTTTGGTGCCAATGTGATGGTAATACAATTTAAACTCAGCGTATCTTTCCGATCTTCTGTTCAGATAAAATAGCAGACAATAATGGAGTCAAACATCGAACATTATTAGGATAACGTACAGATTTGAATTATTTCGGAACACATACGGAATTTCACTAAAAGTAGTAGACTACATACTAGTACACCTAATAACTGAATCAGTTATGCTCAGCCAGTTTACTTAACGTAATTGCTATAGTACAAAAATGGCTACTATCAGAAAACACGGTCAAATAGGATACCTATTCACACGAAGTTTTTTAATTCCTTCGTGTTGCCAAAATCCTTTCCAATTGGGACCCACGTGTTAAGAAATACCCCATATAATAATACTTACCGCCTTAAGCTTTTATGCTATAACCTACTTATGATAATAATATTAATAACTATAAGGATGATGGACCTAAGGGGGCACTTACTACCTAAAGTATAGCACTGTATTTGGGTTTCGAAAGTTGATCTAGAATTCTTGTAAAGATCAAAATATTCTTTCACTAATAAAGTATGACGAAGTGAGCTATACTCAGTATTCTTTTTAGATTACATCAAATCGGTTTTAGAGTTCTGTAGATGTTGAAACATAGATATCGCGAGGAACAAAATGACAGGAACTTTCAAATGGGAGCTGACAGTGTTTTGACACAGCTGCAATTGATTCTCTTGAAAAATGTGATATAGATTTTATAACCAAACGCACGAATGGTGACAAGTACACTCAATTAATAAAAGAGCAAATAAAAGAAGATGCAGTACGAAATGCAGATGAAAAATATATATTTTAGCTGGATAAGGCTACTGTCCATATTGAGAAGTCTGTGAAAAATTTTTTTACAAGCACACATATGCAGTTCTTGAGTGAACTGTGTATTCCCTTGATTTAAACATTGTTGAAAATGCTTGGGCTCAATTATCACGCAGTGTATATCAGGATGGCAGACAGTTCAATAACATAAACGAACAAAAAAAGAAGTATTATTACAGATTAATGGAGATTGAAACAAAAAAAGTATTAAGAACTTATATATAATACTGTCAAAATAATTAATCTATGTTACTCAAAGGAAAATAAAATTAACTACACATTAACCCTTGTGCACTGTTCAAAAACTTGTTCCTTCACCACCACTTGAATTAAATGGGACCAATGTTAAAGTCTACTAGAGAAAATATATTCAATTAAATATCAACGTTAAATTAATTCAAAAATTATTGTAGTAATAAGCACAATTAAAAATCAAACCTTAATTCCGAGTCAAATTGACCCGAACAGTGTACGAGGATTAATAGAATTATGTTTCGCCTTTTCTACAAAATAAAAATCTAGTATCCTATCATTTCTTCCAAGTGAAAATTTCTACTTAGTTTCTATTTTGGGAAAACGACTTTGTTATTTTATTTGACACTCTGAACGAACAGTTTCAAAGCTAACATCATTAATGATGTTTCAATGAATAATTATTCAAGGTGTCTTATCACTTTGTTCCAAAAAGTGAATATACATTCTTGATTTTCTATAGCAGAAATAAGATCAACCTGTAGAGTATAATTTGCTAGATAAGTCACACTTCAGGTGGCAATTCGAATTCTTATGAATCAAATGGACATTCTGTACAATTAAAAATGGTCCGAATGAGGTCACATTTGGACTAATTTTCATAAAAATATAACGAAGAATGCTATCATTCTTATATTGCATTAACAGTTGATACACGCATACATTATTCAGAACTGCTTTTTCAAAAACCTTATAACATATGCCTTGTTAATACTTTATCTTGTTCATTCTGGAAAATCCCATGTGGCTGAGAGATTCCACAAACCATAAATAATTGCACCACCATTCATAAGTATTTGGACTCTTGGTAGAACCTAATCATGTGTCTTTTATCATCATTCTAGTTTGAATGCCTCCTAATATAATTACAAGAATTAGTGCTATGGGTACTATATAAAAAATGAGACATATTACTTTGTAGTTGTAATAGTAGTTTTGCAACTGATACATATCCCAGAAAACCACTCTTTAATAATTGTATCTTTATCGTTGTCATTTCAATAGAATCTAGTCTGTCTTCATTCATTTTTACCGCAAATTCTGGCATCCTCAGACATCTAATACGTTTACTGAGTGTTCCAACATTCCTTTCCAACTTATCCTGGGCTCTGCTTATTGCTACATAAATCTTTATTCTTAAATTCAGTAACTGCATACTGCACAGTGGAATTCAGAACATTTAATTTGGCCGTCCCTCGCCAATCTTTTGTTAACATTATAGTAGAAAAACATGTTTAAAACGCTAATTATCTTTTCCAGTCATAATTCTAACCAATAGCACTGCTGAACTCATTTAATGCAGAGGAAAAGCTTGCACTATTGTAACTCTATATTTCTCACTAATAAATGACCAACCCTATCAACTGTACAACATACATATATCAAAAGCATTTGAAAACTCATGTAATTGTCCTATGACTCAAAACATCTATATAAGTACCTTTAGAAGATCGGTTTTTGTTCAATTTCAGTTATTGTTCTTCTATTTAACCACACTCGGCACAAAATATTATTCTCATCATTCAGTATTAACTGTACATGACAGTATGAGATTAAAACAAGAGGCATAGTTACACCGAAGTGAATTAGATGTAACATTAGATTACTGCAAAACTTCTGACCCTTTCAAAGGTTACGTTAAATAGCAGTTTACTTTTATTAGAGATAGTTAGTGCTCTGCGTTACACTACATTTATCAAGTAGATTTTATACTTTGTGGATAATATTTGTACACTCAGTTTATCAATGCATAGTACTTTTATGGCCGGGAGCTCCTAAGTTGCCGACGAATCACATTAGCTGGTGACAAAGTGAGCGAGCAGGACACACGAGATCAAGTGAGATAGAGCGATAACAGAGTAGTCACGTGGTAATGACGTAGTAATGACGTACACGCCCTTACAATGTTAACCATTAGCCGGTGAGATATCACTCTTTCTCCTATGCCATTCAGCTTATTGGGATTCGGCAACTTATCAGCATCCAACTATACTTCGTATTTTGCCAAGAAGTAACGGATGAAATTTATGCAGCAATCTAACAACACAGTATATACATATCTTCCAGGAAGGTGTTCAAATACTTATGGACGGCAGTGTCCGTACTCAGACTCAGACCATTGTAAATTAAGCAACAACTATTCAAAATCGCCCGCACTTTTAGGGGATGTACTGTAATTGCTTCATGTCGCTCAAAATGAACATAATGGCGGTGCGAACGAACTGGGAACGCGTCGTGAAAAATTAATATATTTACATGCACGCACGCGCACACTATGGGTACGGAGGTATTAATCTGTTATTTACAGCTCGAAAAGTTCATAAAATTCAGGTTCATCATCACAGAAAAGCTATATATATATATTGTATATACATATAATGCCTATTTACATGAATGTTTTTTTACCGAAGGCGATTGGAAAAGTAAACTGGAAAACGGCTAAAACGAGCATGCTTGCGCTCGTCATTCGATCGACCACGCTTCTTTTTATTTTCTCTTGGTTTGATCGAAAGAAAAAAAAAAATAAACTAAATACAAATATATACGCACGTGTTTAACGAAACACGCGCGTGCACGATGCGCTCAGGGCGATGAAAGTGGCAGGCACGCGATCTCCGCTTCCTCTAACACGATTAACAACAAAGTCAACAAAACGACGAAAGTAATTAAGAATATATTATTTAAAGTTACACCTCAGTGGGGTACCTCTCGTGATACGTATTTACAGTGATATCTTTGGCGTTATTTCTCGAATAACCTGTCAGATTATACGCGTAAACGGAACGTAAGCGAATTTACGCGAACAAAGGGACGCTCCAGAAAACAAAGGGAACGTGTTGACTGACGGTACAACTGAAAAATTTTAGTTCGCTCAACGCGCAAACGCACTACGCGTAAACGTTCACAAAACGTATTATTTTCAACGATCCTGAGATTCAAAATATTTTTAATGTTTAACGATCGAAGGCAGAAACGAACATTTTCTGCAAACGATGTTCAAACTCAATCACTTCGAACTAGGTAATTTCTCTTAATTCGCGTACATTATTATGAACGCGTGGACACCTTCACTCGTTAGTACATTGTAAACTAAATGGATGACTTCTCTTTCAAGTTTAACGATCGCGTTTCACGATTTCCAATGGCCTTTCTCTACATTTCCCAATTCCACTTAAAAATGGCTTTACTGCTTTGTAAAAGGGACGATGGAAAATGATATTACACCTTTTCGTAAGTGAATCGCTTCGAACGCCTTAATTAGTCTCGCACGTACCTGTAAGCTCGCTATTCTACGAAGGAACCACGAATGTTTAATTAAATGTGAAACTGGTGACTTTTATAGCGGTACGCAGGGGAAAAAAAGATGGCCGCCGCGATATTTCAAACGAACAACAGACGGCGGCGGCGAATTGCAATTCCTTCTTTTTTTTTTTCCATTGGAAGTGTTGTTTTCGTAAATTCCGTTGGATCGATAATAATATATCAAGCGTATATTTGGTACGTCGTAGGTTACAAATTATTCTCTTCCCGAATCGATCGACGGCTAATTTAAACTGTGTTCACGGTCGAAAAAGCGCTATCGGTCTCTTCTTTCTTCGATCCGTTCACGCATTTGCGACACAGGCTAATTAAAGGCATCGCCAGCAGCAGCGCTCCGCTCAGCGCGATAAAAAAGCCGGCCAGGTAAAAAGAGAGATCGTACGTCCCCGTGATATCGTATAGCCACCCTGAAACAATTAGAAAACTATGTTTGTATTTTCAGCATGTTCAAAAACATCGTTCGAGATTGCAACAACAAAACAGGATGACCTTTTCATCGAATCTTAAGGGGTTATTGCTACCTATAAATTTTCTTACAGTACATCATTTTCGAAATATTGTGTAAAAGTTTAAAATTGATCCGACCAAAATTGGAGGATTTGGAAGTTTCAGAGCAGATATAAGGTGGTAGAATCCCTTTCTAGGGGTGCGTGAGTCATGAATACTGTGCCCCAATGCAATTTATGATTGTTAGTAAATACACAAAGCTATATGTAGCCGTAATACTAAGAATAATTATATATAAAAAATTTGCATTGATTTGGTTGGAAACTGACTTGAAACTTTAAACGTGTTTTTCTCAAAACCACATTTTCAGAATCGGTGACCAAAATATCTCGAGAAACGCTGCACCAAACTGATTCAGCTTTGGTGGACTCATTCTATACATAAAAATCTAGTGCCTGATCTTTTTGTATTTCATTGCGTAGTTTTTATTTTATAGATCAAAAATGAACGATTTTTTTGGCGAAAATCGATACTTCGATTTTGAACAGCCGCCATTTTGTCGTAAATTAAATTTTCAGGATAATGAACGATCGGGCACTAGATAATTTAATATATTAACTAAATTTGCTCGGATTTTTTATTTTGGATAAACGAACTCGAAGTTACAATGGTCAACGGAAAACGCCTAATACGGCCGGGAAATCGCTGATATTTCCCCTATTTATTCATATTTAGCATTGAAGAAATTACTATAAGCGCTTTAAAATGTACACTTTCGAATACAGTGACGTATGTTTAAAAAAAGTCTTCAAGTTTCAAAATGTGTGGTGCCGGTCGGACGATATTAATTAACTCGTACAGTACCTATAGTAGTCGACGAAATGGGATTACTGCTATCTACATTGCGGTCGTAGAAAAGAGCAACGAGTGAAAAAGAAAAAGGGATTAGTTCCTCGGTATTACATCTTTTTGAAGACAATAAACGGACGCATAGAAATCTGTTTATGGCATCTACAATACAATGAATTTCCATTATAGAACGGGATTGCTTTTCTTGCTCCATTGTTACATTCATCCGATGTTTTATTATTTAGAATTTTTTTAGAATTTATTTGGAATTTATTTAGAATTTATTATTTTTAAATATTGGAAATTTTTAATTATCGTAAAGTTCAAATACGGATCTTCTGTAGCATTTACAGCTCAGTGTGCAAGTTTAAATTTCCTAAATATTGTCTTGAGTTAAACTCGTTATTCTGTATTTTAGCACAAGATTCAAGGTATGCAATAGTTTTTTTATTCATAGTATGATAGCGTTTGTTGAAACGAATTCAACGATGTTTCACATACTGTTATTGAGCGTAGTAGAAGGTCGTAATTAGTGAAGCTCGAAGGAATCTGATCAACGTAATCACAGCTCGTGTGCTACCAAACTCCACGTAACCGTGCTACGCTACGGGTCGCAGCAAAGCCGCGACTCGCATTGATCTGACTACTTAACATCTCGCTAATTTATGACCTCTTAGTAAACTCAACGACCTTATATGACACATCGTTGAACTCGTCTCAACAAACACTATAATATTTCAATTTCATTAAAAAAAAAAACTAACTTGACCTTGAAATCTCCTCCATTACTCTACCTACAAACAGTGAGATATACCAAATTATGTCTCCCTTATCACTAGAACTACCAAACAAGTCAAAATGACTTGTCAAAATACTCTTACAACGACAATTAAAATGTTATGACAATACATTTTCTCAGATCTTTTGCACCTCTTATTACGATATGAAAGTGAAGAAATTAGTGAATTTCTAAATTTTCAAAAGTTTTCACGTTTATCCACCGATCGAAGCAAATATGCGTTTATCGTCGGTAGTTCTAGTGTTAATACCAAACACTTTTTGTCAGAACATCGTTTTTTATATTTTTCGTTTATTACGAGATATTCCACTAGATTCAGTTCAAACAGGCGCCCTGCGTATGCTCCGCTATTTACCGTCATATGAATCCTACATCTAAAATAAGTAAATTTGCAAATACCGTATTTTCAATCTTTATCACGACACTTACGTGACGTCCGAAAAATGCGATGATTACTGATGATACAAAGTATCATAAACGAACACACAGTGTACTTAACCATAACTGCAACTATACAGCTTTGACCAAAAGTATTAGGCACTCCATGAAATGTGTTTTTTAAAAAGATTTTTGTACTAGGAGGAAATAAAACTGTTGAAATGTAAAACGAACCATTTTTTATTAATTTTGTCAATATTTTGCTGGGCCACTCTTTGGCCTAATGATTGACAATCACAACAATTTCTTTCTGATTTTTACCCTGTTCTTTATAGATATACAGGGTGTCTCAGCTAACACTTTATGAAAATTTTGAGGCGTGGAATTTAAATATTTTACCTTGACATTTTTTGGATGCAATGACCTATTTTTTGTACCATAGGTCGATAGAGTATCAAATTCTGAGTAAAAATGTGTTGACCTTCATGCGTCCTAAACCTAATAGTTACCGAGATATTTACAAAATAATCACTGTATTGAAGTTGAGGGACATCAGTTCGAGCATGTATAGCTTCCAGATAGTAAGTACGTATTAAAAATTATTTTATAAACATCTCGTTAACTATTAGGTTTATAACGTATGAAAGTCAACACATTTTTACTCAGAAAAAATTCCAATGTTTAATATATGTATATTATTTAAATATATAATTTTTTCGCATACTTTCTTATGTGACTAAATTTTCCGTTCAAAACATACAATTTAGAACAAAAGAACTTTTCCCCTACTCCCTCGAGTTTCCAAGATATTCGAAGAAATATATTTTCATCCCCCAAGTTTGGGGGCTGTTATCACCCCCTTCACAGGAACAACAACCGATAAAAAGAAAATACGTGTCAAATATTTTTTTGGAGAACTATCTCCCATATAAATTTCACTTAAATCTGCGTGTGCGGGTTCCGTATGTTCCCCTGTCAAGCTTGTTCCGTACGAAAACAATTAAGCGAATAAACAAGTAAATAAAAAGGAATAAGTACAAGTGTCAATTTTACATGATGTAACGTAGTACGACTTCGTTCGAATATGTAACCAACCAGATTAACATTATAACCAAGTCAATAAGCGCTCGGTGTATTGAAGGAAAAGGGACTTACTCTCCTTTGTCATGATAAGACAATTATGAGACTGAACGTGACTTACATAACACAAAAACGACACGGTAACCCGTTAAAAAGTATTCTGTGTACAGTGCCCACTATAATCGGATCAAATTCAATTGACCGCTCAAGGCCACTTCCCCGATTGTGAATCATGTCAGACACGATTCTTATTATGACGTCATGGGCTGGCTTACCTCCTTGTTTACCAGGCACACAGCGTGCGAGTCTAGATTCGCGTGAGACGATGAAGGAGGCGACACTATTCATTCGGTGGCCTTGAGCAGACAATTGTATTCCGTATGACAGACGAAATTTTGAAACATCGCGGACCAGTCGGTTTTATCGCCAGCTGTACTTTCGATACGGTCATATCTGCTGAAAAACGTATCACACAATAGAACTGTACGAACCGCACGCGTACTTTAGAGCAACACAAAAGTTAGCAATGCTTCTATATGCTTAGATATTGGTAGATATTTACAATAAGGGAGCCACCTCCGATTTCAATGATTTTTCCATATATTGTCTAGGTCATCACCCTGAGTAGTATTGTAAAGGTTTTAGTTGGAGGTCGCCGTTTATAAAAAAATTATTGCCAACAAAACTGTAGCTATATCCTTATTTTTTTTTTTTTAATTTTTAAATAGTTCCCCGGTATAAAAACAGGGCATTTATTTAAAACAATTGCAAAATAAATGGTTGAAAAATATGTTTTTCCAACTGAAATAATTTTTATTTGGTACTCTTATGTCTCCGCTGTAAGTACCCAGAAAGCTCATTTCAATCAGTTTTTTTGTTCAGTAGGTATGATTTATTGAAAAAAGGTTGACCCTAAATTTCAAACAGCTATAGAAACAACAACTTTGAAAATTTTCAAAAATCCTTCGAGATACGTTCATATATCGTTGAAGACTACAACATATCCAAAGTTGAAGAAAATCCGAAATGGTGCTCCAAAAAGTGTCCAATTTCGCGTGGAATGACCCGTATGTTCCATTCATTACATAATGAGAATTTTATAACAACGTTAGAAAGTAATTTTTCCCTTACCAGCCAGCGGAGGACCCATAAGATTAGCCACACCCTGAACCAAAAGCAGCAGGCCGTAAGCGTTCGTGAACCTCTCCAGCGTGATCAGTTCGACGAGGATGATGCTGGTGAGACTGTAGTTCGCCGCGATGAACAGCCCGAAAGCACCAGAGATTGCGCACAGTGAATAATAACTGCTGACCACCATGGGTATCAAAGCTGTCACTGCACCGCAGAGAGCCATGCACACCGCGTACACGATGGACGCGTTTACCCATGCTCTGTCGCCTGCCCAACCGAGAAGAATCTGAAACGAATCATCAAAATTCTTCTGAATTATTTGTTAGAACGAAAAATTAAAATAAAATATCTTCTGTTTTAATAATACGTTTAATTCATCGGAGAGTCCATATACAGTGAGTCATAGAAGTATTCGTACCCTCGAAAGTTTTTAATTCGAATGATTAATATTCTTTAACAATATACACTCTGGAACATTTATCGATAAGGATATGTTGTGCAATAACTAAGCTTTCGAATGATGTATCATTAATTGAAAATAAGAATATACGTAAATGGAAATTTAAGCAAATCGTCGAAAATCTAATCTCATAAAAATATTCTAACAAGGGAAGGCACGGAAGTGTCCCCCTCCAATTGTTATGAAAATTCGGATGTCTGTTAAGCAGTCAAAAATAAGGGATACGTATTTTTTTTTATCGGCTGAGACGTGACTTTAAGGGGTCAAACCACCCCTCAAAGTTTCGATCTGAAATTTTTGTGACATAAACAAGTTATATTTTATTTGTTAGTACCATATTATTCTACACAAAAAACAGCAAACCTCGTCCATTAGAAGTTTTCATATATCTCCTCTGGTTTTCGAGATAGTACTTTCGAGTCGAAACTTCGAGGGGAGGTTTCACCCCTTAAAGTCGCGTATCAGCCGATAAAAAAATATACGTATCCCTTATTTTTGACTGCTTAACAGACATACGAAGTTTCATCAAAATAGGATGGGGACACATCCGTGTCTTCCTTTGTATGTCGTACAATTTAAGGAATTTGCAAATATTTACAAATATTTTGAACTAGTATGAGTACGAATATTTTTGTGAGTTTTATTTATATTACAGAGTCCTCTCGATTATCGTCTGGCTTGTTCTAGACACTCATTGTCCAAGCGTTGTCCCCACTACGGAGGGGGGAGGGGGGTAGGACTTGTCAAGCGCATACTTTGTTGTCCCTCCGCTTTTGTTGCCGAGGCTCGGGAATTGGGCTTCAAGCAAAGAACGAATTTCCGAAGGTCCGAAACCATTATGACATGTTAAAATTGTCGTTTTTTACTTTGAATCTTATATGTTAATAATTACATTTAATCAAACAGAATTTTGTTTATTTTTATTTATAAATGTATTTCTCTTAAATGATGATTTTAATACAGAGGCTCCGTAATTGGGACACATACCCCAATACGGACGACGTTTACGGAGCTTCTCATTTTAAGGGTTGACACAGATTCAACGATGTGAAAGGTACACTTTCTTCCATAGAATCGATCGTTAACGGACAAACGTTCCGAGAATTACTTCTATGTTAATAATCCCACCCCAACACACACAATGCACACACACTGCAGATAACACTCGCGTGACGTAAGCTCAGGGTCAAAAGGAGTTTACAGTCAAATGAGATCAGAGAGTGTGAGAGGAACTCGACGATGCCGCCCGCGTCACAGGGTGCTCTAAGACGGGAGTGACGTAGGGTATGTGTCCCAATTAGGGAGGCTTTAAGTCAGTTTGCGCAATCAAGTATTTATTAAAAAAATACTGCTATATAAATTTCATATTGTGAAAATCAATGTCAGTTACTAAACAATTCCCTTTTATAAAGGAATTTTTTTGAAATAGAAAAATTAAATCTTTGTAATGTATTTAATTAAATAATGTAATGCATATATTTTTTTTCTAAGTGGAGGCGTTTCGGAGATTTGAAGGTTAACTTCGTTTTTTTAAATGGAATATTATATTTTTTATACCAAAATATCTAAGAGCGTTAAATTTTGAGTAAAAAAGTACTGACCTTTATTAGCCTAATAATGAACGAATAATTTCACTTTGTTTCTTGAAAATGGTCTGTGTGTAATGTCAAGTTGGAGATTCAATACCAGCAAAGATTTTGTGTAAGACCGCGGAGTTTACGTGACAATGTTTATCAACATGACCGATTCTGCGTATGAAGTCGTAATCGCCTATTCCGTTCATGATTCAGTATTCAAGTTATCATCAGTGTTTATACGTGACTATCTCGGTAAGATAAAAGCAAAAATAAAATTTAGTAATTGTGAAAAAGTGGATATGCTTGTAGTTTATGGTGAGTACCATAGAAATGCAACAAGAGCTATAGCTATGTATGTCGAAAGGGTCTAGCCGGGTAAGTATGGAAAACTAGCTCCAGCACCAATTTTAGTATTTATGTTTACCAAATAATGCTCTTTGCCTAAAAAACAACTGTGAGTAATTTCAAATCTCTATCCCCTCTCGGAAGGGAGATATGAGGATAACAACCCTAAACTTTACCATTTTTTTTTTCAACAACTAGTTAAGATATTTGAATGCTTCAAAATGCAAATAGTAGGTAATTTTTAGCTCTAAAACATATTTTTCCGAAATTGTAATTATTAAAAGTAGAAGTAAAAGAATTAATTTTTTGGGGGTGGTTTTTGCAAACATCCCTTCGAGTGACACCTACGAAAAAAATTAGAAGTAACGCGTCACTATTTAGTTTATTATCTATATAAGTTGCAGAAGGGTTGGTTTGGTGGAACATATTAAAAAAAAATAAGACCAATATAATACCTCTCACAAGGGGGGCCGCATGATCAATAGGAAAGCGAAAAAACATGCATCTTTAGAAATTTCTTTTAGACTTTAGACAAACCTAGAAACCACAAAATTTTAGCAATTTTTTATCCAATAGAAGTTATTCAGGGTGAACAAGTTGCGTGGACCACCCTTTATATATATATATATATATTATTATTATATATAAAATTTATTATATTATTTGAATATATATATATATATTTTTAAATAATATAATACATATATATATACATATATATTATTTAAAAAAATTCCACATAAATAATATTCATGTCGTTCCTAAATATTGTCACACTGAGAAATAATAGGTGTATCATTCTATTAACAAAAAATTATATCTATATTGGTACCATCGAAGAAAATGATCAAATGATCGTGAAAAACATTTCTGCTACATCGTGTTTCGCCCCTTGTAATTTTTACTAACACAGGAAGTTTCCCAACCTCAAAACTTGTATTTTTGGACTCTACTTGTCGAGTACTGTTAGAGACTGTAAGGATCGGTCAGAAACTTTTGATGCTCCAAAACGTAGTTCAGCCTACATTTTTCTAATATAGGTGTCACAAAAGACAAGGTTGCCTGCTTCTAATAGACCACACTGCATATTTCTGTGAATGCTTGTATTTCGCCAAAGCACCGGCAATAAAGTTGCAAAGTGTGAACAAACAGAAATACATCTTTTTTAAATCATGTCTTCAATATCACTCTACCGAAGAGTTTCGTTGTTAACTATTGAACGCTAATTGTTTCCAGTCAATTTACTCAAAATATAAGTAGAAGAGTAAACTGACAAGAGAAAGAGTTACGGTGGCGAAATTTTCAGAAATTTCATTCGCTTCGGTGAGCACACCTTTCAGACATTACGTGGCGGTGAACTGGCAGGTGGAAATAACGATTCTTCAGCGGCCGATAAACAGCAGTGAAGCGAACTAATATCGGGGCCACATAAAGGAACAAAGTCTACCACGAAGGAGAGGCCCGGTGAACAATGAACGCCCGATATTTGGAAATATCGGCCTGTCAACGAACCGACAAGCCCCAACGTTAAGTCAACGCGAGCTGTATCGTGTTTTTATTGTCAGACGTTAAGGGTGATATACGTTTCTACGAATGTTGTGGTCATTCGGGCGAAATTTATTATTCTTTTTACTAATGATATAAACAAATTAATCGATCGGCTGAAAAAATGTATATCCACTGTTTTCGAGGACTACAGTATTGTCTCGATGAGTGCCATGAATGCTCCGAAGCGGATCCAAGTACGTCGCACTCATCGAGACATTACTGTATTCTGTTTATTTATTTTCTTAAACAAAAAACAATCTTTAGAGTTGGATATATCAATTGTTGTAAATACAGAATCATATTCCTCGGTGATAAAAAATAAATAAATGAAGATACAGGTGAATCCACACTGACCCACTGAATGATAAAATTTGGCAGAAAAATCGAAATTCAATTCTAAATATCATATAGACATTATAAAATATTAGAATTAATTTACAGAAAATAAAACTAACAATTAAAATTTTTTTTTCTTTTTATTTATAAGTAATTGAAAATAAGTGATTCATTTGGTCTTTCTTGTGGATTTCTAAACACAAAGTAATTATCATTATGAAGTAGTTCTCAATGACTAAGTTATAAAAGGTCCCGAGTTACCTAAGTAGGAAAAAGTTCCATTTAAAATACATAAAACTGACTGCAGCAGTTTATTGCAGAAAATAAATAGTATCAAACTCTTAAAATGGAACAAGTAGAGGAATCGAAGAATATTAAAAACCCAGGATATGTTTTACCAAATGATAGGTATGTACTCCAAGGGTTAAGGCTCTAAAATAGTGACGGATAACATGTTACTTACGATTTAATTTACGATCACATTAAAGGCTTAAAGGTAATCCTCCTATAACACGGTTAATTCGGACCGTTTCATACGGAAATGGTATAAACCGACACGGCGGCGCAGTAACACTTTTATTATTCGTACAAACGGAATCCCCGCTTATGAAACCGTTATAAGTCGGCGTTATGAGGACTATGCATGTTTATTACGTTGTATTACATCGAGTCTGTCTTACGGATCGGTCTTATACAATTTTTCTACCGTATTATACCGAAAGCTTTTGTTTAAAACAAAAACCGTCTAAGAATACCGCATTATAGGAGGATTACCCGTATCGCTTCACCGACTACGTTCTTTAACTACAAAATTGTGTACACTAACGGTCAAAAATATGTTACGAGCCCAGGCCGTAATAACCCGGGAGGCTGGCGAGTATAGGTTTTTCAAAGAATATGGTATCAGTTTGTTAGTAAAGTCGCGGACGAATCTGACGCGGAGCCAGGGAGTCGCTAGGATGTTTGAAAGCGAGGACGAACCTCATGCAAAATCAGGGAGCCGCAGGATTGGCCAAGTTTTTTGGACGAAACCGATGCGAAATCAGAGAATCAGTGGGTTAAAAATACTCTTGGATAAATGTAATGTACGGACGAACCTGATGCGAAATCATGGAGCCGCAGGATTGGCCACGTTTCGTGGACGAACCCGATGTGAAATCGGGGAGCCACTGGGTTAAAAATACTCTTGGATAAATGTAATGTACAGACGAACCTGATGCGAAATCATGGAGCCGCAGGATTGGCCACGTTTCGCGGACGAACCCGATGCGAAATCGGGGAGCCACTGGGTTAAAAATACTCTTGGATAAATGTAATGTACGGACGAACCTGATGCGAAATCATGGAGCCGCGGGATTGGCCACGTTTCGTGGACGAACCCGATGCGAAATCGGAGAGCCACTGGGTTAAAAATACTCTTGGATAAATGTAATGTACGGACGAACCTGATGCGAAATCATGGAGCCGCAGGATTGGCCACGTTTCGTGGACGAACCCGATGCGAAATCGGGGAGCCACTGGGTTAAAAATACTCTTGGATAAATGTAATGTACGAACGAACCTGATGCGAAATCATGGAGCCGCAGGATTGGCCACGTTTCGTGGACGAACCCGATGCGAAATCGGGGAGCCACTGGGTTATAAATACTCTTGGGTAAATGTAATGCACGGATGAACCTGTTAGGAAATGTTAGTTTTACTCCCTCGTTTACTTGAGAGATAACGAAAACGTAAGGGCGTTTTCCTTTGCCGGGTGCGAGCTCAGACTATTAGAGCGAGAGGTATGAGAGAAAATTCTTCATACGTAACAAGTATAAGATCGGGTCTGATAAGTAAAAAGGGAGGCAAATATTGTTCTAAGAAGATTCGATGAAAGTAATATGCTAAAACTGAATGGAAACATTTTTGTAAATGGATTTCGTAAATGTGACTAACCCCGTGAGGCGCGCTTAAAAAAATCCTCAAAAAAAGTCACTTTTTCCTGTAATGAGGTTTGGTTTGAATTTCTTTGACTTCTATTATATCCGTCTATTAGATACTCTGTCCTCATGAACTTCAGGCATTATTATCGTCGAACTTTCTTTAAAAAAAATAGGAGGAGCACTCATTCATTTTCGTCCTTTATCGAGCACTCTAGAGTTAACCTATCCCAAAAGTCCGCAGTAATACCCACACTTACCCTAGTGTATGTGACGCAACACATACGAAATTGAAAGAGATAGTAATTTGCATAAAAAAACTTAAGATAACGTGAAAAATTCTTACCTCCCCGCCTGTATTAGTGATCCCGATGACCGATATAAGAATGGACGCATCAGTCTGGTTGAATCCCTTCTCGATTGCGTTGTCCGTCAGGTAGACGTAGGGCACGTCGTACCAGGTGTGCAGCAGAAAATTACTGATCGCGAACAACAAGAAACGGGAGTCAGCGAAGTGGGAGAAATCGAGCATGTCCACGACGAGATCCCAGAATTCCCATAATCCAGCGTACCAAACCAGTTTCGTTTTCGCTATGGTGGTCATCGAGTTTCTATAAATATCCGGACAACTGGACGCTCTCAGCCGGTAACGATTTATATTTAACATGGCACCTCTGTAGGTAAGGCTGTGTCTATGGACTCTGATGTCCTTCAGATAAGCGGTTGGCACCCTCTTGGAGTGTTCCTGAGTGCTGGACCGTCTCACCGCGCTATCCAGATTGGTCTTCTTCGACCACCACAAACGCCACGCGGCGTCCGACTGCTGTTGCTGAAAGGTCGCCTGCTCGTCGTTCGGCGAGGCCTTGTTCTTGTTCTCCTCGACCTTCAGCTCGGACAACGAGCTGGGTGTGGGCGCGAACCTCGCCGACGGGGTGCTAAGCTGATCGTGAAGCGCCCCGGAATCGCTGAAGCTTCTCGATGATATCAGCAGGCTCGGGTAATTCTGCAGCAGCACATTGTAAACATTCTTCCGTGTGCTAAGCAGCTCCAACACCTCTAGCGGGACCCTCTCGCCGTTTTTCACGAAAGTCGGCAAACTGACCAGGCTCGAGAACAACTTTTCGCCGTCCTCCTCGTCCTGTAACCGAAGATTCTCCATGATCGTCAGTGTGTTCAGGGAACTATTCGCGGAGACCGAGTCCGCGCTGGAGCTCTGTATCCTGCTCCGTTTCTTCTCTCTGTTCTTTCGCCTCTCCTCCGTTTTCGCTTTCGCCCTGATGGTCGTCCATTCCAGATCCCTCATCAGACACCCGCACACCGCTAAATTCAGAAACAGACCGGCCAGAATCAGCGTGGTCCCCCGCCAACCATACTCGGCGAGCAGATACTGGGTCACCGGTGCGAAGATGAACGTCCCGATACCGCTTCCGCACACGGACAAACCGGTCGCGAACGATCTCTTCTTGTCGAAGTAATACGCGACGATCACCACCGCCGCCACGAAACATAGGGACAAACCGAAACCGGCCAGAATACCGAACGTGAACACCAGAACCTCCATCGAATTCGCGTAGGAGCTGATTACGAAGCCGGTCGTCGCTAGAATACTTCCTGCTATGGACACCCGTCGACAGCCGTACCGATCCGTTAAAAAGCTGGCTACCGGGCCCGATAACAGGGGCATAGCCATGAACAGACTGCCGATCCAGGCGGTCTTCGATTTCCCTTCGCCGAAGTAGTTCAAGAATTCGACGTAGAGCACACCGAACGAGAACGTGATCCCGTCCGCTATGAGATTGACCATAAATGAGGCGACGACCACCACCCAGCCCCATCCTCCATCGGGCGGCGTAGCCTCGCATAGCTGGTCCAGGCTGGAATTATCATCTGTACTGCTGGTCGCCGACGTGGGTATCGAAGGACTTGGCTGTGAACGATCGTCCCGCGTGTATTGCTTCTTCGAGTCTTTATTGAACTGCACATGGTGTTGTTGCTTGTCGTCCCTGAGTGACTTTCCATTAACCAGCTTCTCGGTGCTCTTCTCGGAGGACAAGCGACTCTTCGAGGACATAATCCTCGGAGGGGAGCCGAAGATTGAATTCCTTTCCGTGAACATACTCCTGCGCTTCTGTGGGCTGGAAGCATCCTCTTTGTGCAGACTGTCCAGCCTTTTTACGGAGTTCTGCGACAGTTCGTTCAATTCCTGCCTAGCCTCGTGCCGTATCTTGGAGCCAGGCTCGTCGTAGCTGTTGTACGGTTTCTCTAAACATCGTCCATCCTCGTCATCCTCGGATTTCTCGGTCGCCGCGTCGTTCTCGAAACTCTGATCGCTCAAGGACTTCGACTGTTCCTCCGAAAGAATACCGATCTGGTCGGAATTCTTCCGAAACCGCGGCACATCCTTCACTATCAAGTTCAGATCTGTCAACGCGGCGTCGCTGCTCTTACGGTGTTCTGTTTTACGGGGATTCTCTTGCAGCGTTCGGCTCGACGAACGTTTCTTTTCGATCAACAGCTCCTCGTCGCTCTTTCGCGGCGCTATCTCGTCGTTGTTGGCGTCAACGCGCGATTCGGCGCTGTGATCAGTGTCGCCTCTGATACTTCCTCCACTTTTGATCGTTTCGTTCGATTCGGTCAGCTTCTCCTCGCCGTTGAACTTGGTCCACTCAGCCATGATGACGATGCCAAGGAGGAGGAAGAAGAGAAGGAGGAGGAGGAGATGGCTGCCCTTTTAAACACAATTGTCCGATAACCAACGTGGCGACATTGAACCCACTACTACTCCCTTTCTTTCGTTGACCGTTTAACGATCCTTTGGGATTTCTTTTTCTTACAGTATACTCGTGGACTTTCGTATTTCTTTTCTTTTTGTTTGTCGCTATCTTAATAATAATAATATAGGTTACCTATAATCTCCTTTCGTACTTTCTCTTTGCTTCCCTTCGATTCTAGATATTCTCGTAGCACTTTGTAACACGCACGCACCCCATTAGATAAAAAGTTAAATCGCACGAATAACCGCGGCGATGGCTGAACCGAACCAGAGTCGGTCTAGTTTCGTCCTTGATTTAAACAACGGTAAACACGGCCATTCGTACAGCTGTCTGGTAAACTGACGGCGTAACGGCAACAACGACGCTGGGGATTCGGACAATATATAGTTCTTTGAAGGCTGGCTGATCGCACCTGGACCGCCACCATCGCAAACGTGGCCCAGGATACGCGAAGTTTTCCTTCTTCTCGGGCCCTGGTTAATCGGGACCGCCTCCTCCTCCGCGTAACGATCGTCAACCCAGGCACCCATACGGCGAACAATATGGCTTCGGATCTTGCGGTGTATGCTGAAATTAAAATACAGAAATTTCGTCAATATGTTTCATTCATCTTAACTTCTTCAAGGGTGAATTTATTAAATCTAGGGTGACGAACGTGAGTCACCTAAAATCCAGACTTTAAGCTCATCGCTATAACGTATGCTAAAACGTTGAATGAAATGTTTAAACTGTTACGTCCCACCCGTTATAGAAAAACTTCTGATATAAGAAATTCCGTCGCCACTGCCCGGATGTTGTCCTGTACTCAGGTTGCATAGTGTCAGCGAAGACAATATCAGCGTTATACCGCGGATTACCATCAGGGCATTCAACCTCTTTACTTCCACTAACTTGTAGAAATTATATACAGGGTGTAACAAAAATTTGGGGGACCCGGAAATGGGTGACTCGTGAGGTGATATGAAACAAGTTTTTCCTTAGCAAAAATGTTATCCGAGGCTTTGTTAATGAGATATTAACGAAAAACCTGGACCAATCAGAACGTGAGTCTGCCGGTCGAGTTCCCGCGGTAACGTTGGCTACGCGCTGCGATTCGTAGCCAATATTACCGTACCAATATCATGATAATTTTTTATTCAAAGAAATTTATTCGGCGGAAAAAATATCACATTTCTAAAATTATAAATGTAGGTTCATGCTGTGAAAAAGATGTTAAAGAATATGTACATGCAATGCTGGGTCAGTTGGTTGAATATTTTTTCAGTTATTTATTTCGAAAAATTTATTTATCCGTGGTGTTTCGAATAAAGATAAATCAAGTTATTCGAAGTTAGGAATAACAGATATAGATAAATTATCTTTTATTTGAATCGTTATTTAAATAACTTTTTATCTAGATATTACCCATATCTGGTCAAAAGTGACCCAGCTTCGCTTTCCATGGGTCAGTCTTCCGTGGGTTAAGAAAAAAAATATTTTTTCTCTACTTTTCAGCTGTATTTGTTAAAAATATATTGATAAACATTGACAGCAATCAACTGGTAGGATCTTTTTTTCGTTGCAGAATTTACTAATGACTATCTAATCACAAGAATGTTCATTGTATTTTCATGATTGAAAGAGAACCTAAAGGTGCACAAATGTGCCAATATCCTTCAAAAGGTTGATGATTTACGACTTAACAAACTTAACACTTCTGACTATTATACTCACTTCAAGCATAATCTCCGTTGGGCCTGAAGCTGATAAGCACGCGACCGTATTGATAGTACATGCAATGAAGTGACAAAGTAATCTGTATCAATGAAAGGATAGTGGAGTTTATTTCTCGTTTATCGTCTATCGACTATCAGACGACTGTCCAAAATCCAGTATAGCAAATGATTAGATAATATTTAATAGAATCTTTTACTATATTTAGTATACCTGATAGAACATTTAACCGGAGTAAAATTTTTATTTTACTCCAGTGTCCCTGAATTAGCCCTTGAAAATCTATAGTTAGCTAAACAGTCGGCCTGTTGGCAAGTTATCTACAGAATCAGTACAGACTACCGTGTATTTACTTGTTCACCAATAGAAACGGATAGAAACGGACCAACCCAAAACTGAATATGCCTTGCAGAGGATATGATGGACCTGATATTGACGACCTCGAAGATATCTAATACGATCAGACCCACCCAGGACCTAATAGGCTAATACGATGCGGCCTATCAGGAATTCGATAAACTTACTGCTGTTGATACAAAAGTCATGCGGCGAGGTAGCAGTTCGTTCGAATTCGTGAAAATGATTAGAAACCGATGTCATAGATTTCAAAAAAACTCAAAGATATTGGAAAATAGATAGGTTCTAAAAATACTGAAACTATCAGAGTAATGAGGCAATATTGGATATAATGTATTATATCAATTACTATTATTGTACGTATATATGTATTATTATTCTACCGCTCACCAATTTTATTTCTCATTACATCAAATCAGCTTTCCTAAGCAAACCACAAAACATTAAGAGAAAATTACATATTAGAAGATAAGTATAGTTTATTCGTTCATCTAGTATTTGTTAAATGTAGTCCATTATATTTTCACTACAGTACTATCTCGATGAGTGCAACGTACTCAGGTCTACTTCGGAGGATACGTAGCAAGGCGGAAAGGTTTTCAGCCCCGCATAAATTTGTTTTTCTTTTTGCCCGAAGCCGAACATCTACAGGAAACGAACGAGTGAATAAAATGAGTACAGAAATTATTTATATGTATATGTGCATTGAAAGGTTGAAATGCACTGCTGAATATGAAAGAGAAAAACGGAATAAAAAAGAAACAAAACATGAAACATAGAAATTTGTTTACTAAATATAAAATAACACAATCTTCATTGGAATGTGGGAACTATATAATAATATTAATAACTTATAATATTAGAAACTTATATCACACGGTATTAAAAGATGTTTAATTTATTTAACAAAAGGTATGACAATGGGTCATTTCACGCCAAGTGGATCACTTTTGTACACGATGTCTGGGATTTTGCACAAATTGAAATATGTCATACTTCATGTGAAAGTAAGAGGGGTTTAAGTCATCGTTTTTCTGGTTTTGGAATTGCTTAAAAAATGAAAACCCTCAAAGTTGGCAACGTTCCCCGATTTTTACGAAAACTGCCATCACAACAGAATTTTTATCTCAGTAACTATTCAAGATAAGAACTTGATTCTTCTTTCATTTTGATTGTACGCGATTGGTTTTTCTAATGAATTGTTTGCTTTGTATGTAAAGTTATTTTTATAATGCAAAAGTATTAAAAAATTTTTTGTTTTGCCAATTTGAGTCTGAGATGACAAATTTTAAATTTTGAAAAAATGTGCCCGTATTCTGTGATCGTTTCTCTTTAAAATCCTTGTTTTTGATTCGCGGACATTCTAAAATTGAAGTCATTTTTGTGTCAAAATCATAGAACTTCTGATAGAAATAAAATAGAAATGATGAATCTTTTTCGAGGTTAAAGCTAAGATGTTACATTACCGCGGGAATTCGGCCGCCAGAGTCGCGCTTTGATTGGTTTGGGTTTTTCGTTAATATCTCGTTAACAAAGCCTGAGATAACATTTTTGCTAAGGAAAAACTTATTTCGAATCATCTCACGAGTCTCCTATTTCCGAGTCCTCCAACATTTTTGTTACACCCTGTATAGACGGTATCGAAATAAAAGTACTCGTATCGAATCATACTTTGTTAATAAAATACATAAAAATAATAAATAAATATTCATTAATAAAATATATCTTCGTTAAAATCAGAAATGGGAAAATTCATTATCTAGATAAAGAGTTTAAAATGGCGAATAAAATGTGAAAAAGTACTTCACTCATTATCAGTGTGTCTTTCGGCCCCTTGATGAAGCTAGCTGCAATGTTTGCAAACCGTTGGGAACACAATTTATTTCAAAAGTATACAATTTACACCCGAAAGCCTCAACAGTGAGAACTGTATGATGGCGGGCCGTGAAAGCCTGAAATCTCTGATTTTTCCTGAAGGAGTTGACATTTGGCAAACAATTTTAATTTCATTAGGGGCATTCTTAGAGACTAATTATGTATTGGTCGAATAAAATTCTGGTCAACTTCAGTTAAAATATGCTATATCAATAAAAAAGAACTTTGTATTCAATTTCCTTCGATGCAAGTAGGTCGGTATCGATACTTTTAATGCGATACTGAGTAGATATCGATACTTCTTTTCGTTACATGTTACGAGCAAAAGTATCAATACCTTGACGGTATCGGTTTATTCCTAAATACAACGAATAATTCAGATCAATACGGAAGCCGTGAAAGGCGTCGGTTCAAAGGGAAAACTCGATTGGTATCGATGCCAGAATCAGAATTCTCACGTCGTCGGTTCCAGTTCAAGGTTCGTCCGAGAAGAAGCGTCGACGTCGAGAGATCTAGAGATCTGCTTCTGGCATTTCGTAACCAGCCCGAAGTAGCTCGAGTTAGAGTCGGCGATTATAAATGAAGTTCATTGTGTATGAGTTGCTATCAATTTAACAGTGTCCAAGACGATCACGCGCGTATCTCGCGATCCCCTGGTCTTTCCTTCCGCCAGGGCTTCTTCTTTTTTATCTACTTCGTCGGCATCTTCTTCGTCTTCTGTGAGTATCGATTGCATACCGTTGATCGCCGCAAAACGTTTCCATCAAGCATACGAAATCTTCCACGCGATATCCCGATTAATAGCGATACGTGTTAACAGATTTTCAAAGTGTTCGAAATACAGATCATTATCGACAGTCCGAAATTTGCAATAACCAATTCAAATAGTCTATTATGAGAAAGTATTAAGATACATGTCGTTGCCCGAGTTCTTAATTGTTCTAACTCCATTTTATCACATAAAATTTTCAATGTTTTTCCGATCATTGTGTCAAGCATAAATACAAAGATTTATTAGATTCCTAATTTCAAGAATTGCTGCGTTATGCAAATTATATAGTGTTATACAGAAACAAAAAATGAACCTGCACATACAGAGAGGAAAAATAAAGTTAGGTTTCAAAAATTAACAAAACTACATTATTCTGCACAGCTCTTTAACCGTGTTGTCTGGATACGAATTTGGACCATCGCCTATGTTGAACCACTACTGTAACTTGTCATGCGCAAGCAATTTACGCTGTATGATAGACAATATGCGTTGTTTAAAGACGAAGTTAGTTATTGCAATCACCAGTCATACATATATCGTCTATCAGTCAACGCAAATTCGTTACACATGACAAGTTACAGTAGTGGTTCAACCTAGGCGATGCACAGTAGAGTATTTGACCCGAAAAGTTGGCCAAAACCCCAAATTTTATCATTGTTCAAAATGAATGAAACTTTGTCCCTATGTTCCTAAGAATGAATAAAAGTAAACTGCTACTTGGTTTTTCGAAAACAGCAGTATTTAGCAACAAATTGATTGTTGAATGTCAACAATTTTTGTGCTCGAAGAAAATACCAAGAAACCTATATTAAGAAAGTGATTTATTACAAGTGTAGTGTTATGGAAGTGC